GTCCCCAATGCGCCCGTTGCCATCCTAGAAATTCCTCCAGCACATGTAGAGAAATCGAGTCAGCGATAGTCAGCACTCGGCAGGACATATTTTCAATTTTGAAAATTTTGAAGTTCCTAAAAAGAATTATTGGTTTTGGACTGTTGCATTATTGGAATTGGTCAAGGGGAACTAAGACAAGGCAATTTTGAATTTTAACTTATACGGAGTATGATTGAAAATGAGCAAGCCAATGAGGGAGAGAGTAACTAACAAAAATGAGAAAGATAAAGTACAAATATTAGATAAGGAGTATAATTTATTTATTTTCATGTATAAATATATTACTCCGTATTAATATTAATAAATTTGAAAGTAGAGATTTTATTTTAGTACGATTTCAAGCTCAACTACGAGCATCTTATTCGAGCTAAACCTATAAAAATTACGGAGTAATTCGCAAAACTCAAGCCGAGCTCGAACCAAGCATGGCTCTATCTCCAAAATTATTATGCTCATTCGAGCTCGAGCCAATGCATTTTTATCAAGCTCGAACTCAAAATTATTCAAGTTCAAGCTCGACCCAACTCATTTAACATATTGACCCAATTTTGAACAAAAAATAAGACTCTCTCCGTCCCTAAATAAAAATATATGTTTATTTTTCGGGTCGTCCCTAAATAAAAGACTCTTTTCCCACTTTGGCAAACAAAACAATGCAAATAAGTGTCAAACAGTGTCCAAACAATATCAAATAGTACCAACCAACCAATCCCACTTTCTTAAAATGTGTGTAAATCATAAGCGGCTGATCGACCATTGTACCTTGCACACACAATTTATCAAATTGGCGAACTGAGTAAAATCAACCAAACATGTCAAATTGATATTCGAAAAAACAGTCACATATTGAACTCAGAGTTTATTCTCTACTTCCTCCGGTCCTTAATTAACTTTACATTTTTCTTTTTGGGTCGTCCCACATTAAACTTTACACTTCTTTATTTGCCTTATTTGACAAAAAATCTACAGCAAACAGTGTCAAACAATGTACTCTACAGTAAAGTCAAATTTATTTCCTTAAAATGTGTGAAGTCAAAGTGTAAACTTTATTAAGGACAGGGGGAGTATGTGCTCTAAAAGTAACTGTTGCGGGTTCATGTTACCTATACACCGTAATTTTTAAAAGAAATGTTTCACACATGTAGTTTAAAAGACAATTTGGAATCTCGGAACCCGGATCAAAACCCAATTCAGTTTGTTAAAACTTCGGAAGTGACTAAACTCTGATAAACACGGTCGATCGGGGAAAACTTGGAAAACCTCGGATTTGTTTGATATTTTCAAAAAAATAACATCCCCCCCCCCCCCCCCCCCCCCCCCCCCCGATTTGTAATCCTTCTTAAGCCAAAAAATTACAACTTCAGTACCCTAAAAAGATAAAATATGTAATATATTTATAGATTTATTTAAAGAATGAAATTCATGTCAAATTATATTATAAATGTACAATAAAAATAACAAATACCGTTATATATTTTAATAGGATTAACATTATATTTTGGAATACTATGAGAGTGTTTAAAATGTGTAACAAATATTATCATTAGTTGATTATTTTACATAATAACTACGAAGTATCTTTTATTTTAATTTTGTATATAATTATATGTTACAATCCATACTAATCTGAATGGATCCGCCGTTCAGCCACTTCATTTCGACGTACTTCCGAGTAGAATTTTTTTATAAGATTTTGCGAGTATTTTAATTTGTTCTTGAAGTGTATATATTATGTCCACCGAGTTTCAATTCTAAGTTCAATTGAGAAGTCCGTTGAATAAATTATTGGAAAACACTGCACCAAATTATATACTAGTACTACATATATAAAATCACAATCTTTTTAAATAATTTATTTAACTGACTTCTCCATTAATCTTTAAACTGAAATTTGATAACATAATCTATACTTCATGAAGAACATATTGTTGGGAAAAAATCAGGCTTTCCCGCTTCGTAAAGTTAAGATAGACGCTTAAGAGTTAAAGATAGCAATAAGGGCACACGATTATAATTCTCCAATTCAGTGATTTTTCCATTATACAAAAGAGTAGTATGATTTACAAGGATGTGTTTACAAAATTGATTTACTCTATTGTGCCTCACTCAAGCTTGAAGATGAGATCTTTTCAAAATATCTTCTCTCAAATTAAAGAAGCTCTCTAAGTGCATGTTTGGCAAACACAAGTCTCCGTCTTCTAGCTTTTGTGTTGTGTAAAAAGTTTCTAAAAGCTTCTAGTTGTATGTTTGACATGACAACTTTTAAGAGTTTTTCAAAAAATAAAAGATCTTTTTTGAGATGAAACAGAGAGTAGCATCTGAGAAAAGTCTATGACTTTTAGTATTAACTATTAATTAGTTCCAATAACTTATATGCCAAACAGAACTATTTCAAACAGACAGCTTTTTACCAAACAACTATCACATTTTCTTTTTAAGATCATTTCAGTTACTAAAAGGTAACAGTTACTAAAAAAATTCACAAAAGTATCTTTTCAGCTAGTTGTGTCAAACATATCCTAACTCTCTAGCTTTCTCACTCTAGGAAGTGGCTTATCTCTTGATTAGAATGATTAGGAATGAAGTACCTACTCCTATTTATACTACTCCACCTCCATAACTAATGGTGGAGAGTAATTTTCTAGAATGCTCTACACATGTCTACATATTCTAGAGAACCACAAGGAATTTTTACAGCTCTCCATTCCCTTCCATAATCTTCAATAAGATTTCGTATGGTTCCACACATCTCCAGAATATTCTAGAGGATTCCACATTCCTTCATAAGTTTATGGAGAGTTATATACTTATGTAGATTTATTTGAACGATTCTAGAAAATTCTATACATCTCTAGAAAGCTCTACAATTATTTGGAGAGTCCGAGTTTGACCTGCATGGGCCACTATTGTTGGAAAAAACTTTGATTTTCTCACTTCGTCAAGTTAAGATAGGCAATGATGGATTAAAGGTAGTAATGGGAGCACACGAGTATAATTATGCAATTTGGAGATTCTTCCATTATATAAAAGAATAGTAGGATTACAAGAATGTGTTTACAAAATTGACTCACTTTATGGTGACTCACTTAAACTTGAGGATGTGGTCCTCCCTCAAGCTATCTCTCTTCTCTCTCAAAGAAGCTCTCTAACTCTCTAGTTTTCTCAATCTAGGAAGTGGCTTATCTCTTGGCTAGGATGGTTAGCAATGAAGCCACCTACTCTTATTTATACTACTCCGCCTCCATAATGAATGATGGAGAGTAGTTTTCTAGAATGCTCTGCACATATTTTAGAGAATTCCAAGGAATCTCTACACCTCTCCATTCCCTTCCATATGCTTTCATACACTTCCATAAGATTTTGAAAGGTTCCACACATCTCCATAATATTTCAGAGGATTCCACACTCTTTCATAAGTTTCTAGAGAGTTCTATACTTCTCTAGAGTTCTCTAGTGATTCTAGAAAAGTATATACTCCTGTAAAAAGCTCTAGAATTTTTTAGAAACTCTCCAAGTAAGGAAGGATCCCAACAAATCTCCCCTCCCAACTTAACTGGGGGTAGCACCAAACCTGCACCTTGACAACAATATTTGAACTTCTTTGTCAGTATTACCTTGGTCATCATATGTGATCAGTTCTCGTCTGTGTGAATCTTGTCAAGATGCAATTTCTTTTCCTTGATAATTTCTCGGATCCAATCATACCTGATATCTATGTGCTTCGTGCGGGAATGCAATGTTGAGTTCTTCCTCAAGTAAATTGCGTTTAGATCATAACACTTCAACACGCACCTTTCATGATCTATCCCTAGTTTGAGCAACATGCTCTTCATTCGCAACATCTCGTTGCCAGCTTCAGTAGCTGTGATGTACTCCGCTTCTGTGGTGGATAATGCAACACACTTTTGCAACTTTGATTCCAAGAAACAGCCCCCTACAAAGTAATTAGGTATCGTGATGTTGATTTTCTTGAATCAATATCATCACCCAAGTCTACATATGTGTATCTTCTAACACAAGTTTTCCCTTTCCAAAGCATACGCATCTTTTGGAAGTTACATGTGAATACTGGAGGATCTATTTGACCGCTACCCAATGTTCATTTCCGGGGTTGGCCAAGAAGCGACTAATGACTCCAACTGCATAGGCGATATCTGGTCTTGTGCATCATTGCATACATGAGACTGCCTACTACATTGAATATGAAATCTTCTCCATTTCCTCCATTTCTTTCTCACTTGTGGGACTTTTCTTCGAACTCAACCTGTAGTGTTCAACAAGTGGTGTGTTAACCGAATTTGATTTATCCATGTTGAATCGTTCCAACACTTTTCCAATGTACCTCTCTTGGGATATGCACAACAGTCTCTTCGATCTATCACGAAGCGGGAAAGTTCGGTTTTTTACCAACACATGCTCATAAAAATTCATCAAAAAATTCCACCGAGAAAACGATATCTTTTCTCTGTTTACTATTACCCCCTCCGTTCCACTAAGATTTTCCCATTTTTCTTTTTTGGGAAATTCGATTAATATTGTCCCATATCAAATTTGGTAAAGTTTGTGTACCTCTAAATCATTCTTACTTTATCAATTCAATATCAATCATATAAATTCATTTTTCTAATAATCATGTCACATCTTCATGTCCCTATATTAATAGGACGAATGTACTATTATATAGTCATATAATTGTTGATCGGTTTTTCGATCTTGACCGGGTTGATCCATTGGGTCGAGGTTGGCTCGCAAACCGATCATGTGAGGGAGTTAATTTCCAGTCCGGTTTTTTTATGTCATTCTTAAAAAAAATAGAGACATTTGGCAAGCGTCCCCCGTGGATTTTTCTTCTCCTCAGAGACCAATTTAACTAGCTGTTAATATTACCTCCTATCTTGACCTCTGACATCTTACAAAAATTTAGTAATTATTGTTAAGAAATAAATCAACCATTTTGGCGATAATCTTAGCCATCTCCATACAAAAAGGAGCTCATCCTTTCTTTTTTAGGAGACTTTTCTTCCGCCTACAGTATCAGTTTTCAACGCGCTTAATCTTGGAGCCATGGACGTTTTTTATACAAGAAATTTCCTAGGTTGTGAGTATTCTTTGTCAGAACTTAATAACCCATATTTGAGGAGAAAGCTAAGGATTCCCTTGTTCTTTTTTCACAAATGAATATTTTAAGATTCTTCAATCTTTTTCTGCTCAAGTTTGCCATCATTACCCTATGCTCAATAACTCCACTCTCAGCCCAAAATTCAAGTGCAGTGAAGGTAGATGTTGGGGTGATTCTTGATTTGAAAACAGAGAGTGGGAAGATGAGGAAGACAAGCATGTCATTAGCTCTTGCTGATTTCTATGGCAGTGGCAGCCATAACACCCAGATTATCCCTCACTTCAGAGACTCAAATAGTGATGATGTTGCTGCAGCTGCTGCAGGTAAAAAGTTATGGCTTTTAGTGAATATATAATGGAGTATAGTTAATACACAATTTAATTCCTCTCAAACACTACTACTCTGTTTGGTTCCCAACTTTTATTCCTCCCAACTTTTATTTCTTGGACCAAAAGCAAATATTGAAGTATTTGGGTGAAAGGGTAGAAATACATCTAACACCCTTTTAGACTCTATTGCTTTCTGGATTATGAAATCTTGGTTTAATTTAGTTTTGGTACATATTTTATTCAAAAAGTGCATCAAAGTTCTTCTATTTTGATTTATTGTGTATCTAATACTCCCAAATAAAATGAAAGTGTTTTGATTTGTTTTTTCATAATTTAGGTATCTTCATCAATTGTAGTGCATATTTAATCATACACGAGTGATTTCCATACTAAGTTTATTGGTTTAGAGTGTTACATTCATCAAACATGATATTGTAACGTAAGAGGGTCTGACCCATATTTTAAATTGTGAGAGATTAGTGTGCATATTTTGCATATCAAAATGAAGTTTCCTTGCTCAAATATAAAAAAAATTGAAGTAAAAGTTGTGGCATTTTGGACAAAAGGAAGAGAAAAGCAGTGACATTTTTGTTATTAAGTGATATTTTTATCATCCCAAATAAGTGAAATGTACAAAGAAAAAAGTGAACTATTGAACATTACATGTGAAAATTTCACATTCTTAAGCAAGTGAAACACCTTTCTTAAGTGAACCCCACTACACACATAGGGGTAGATTCAATTAAAAAGTAGTATTTACATGAAAAATGAGAATACATTTAGGCATTTGATCCTTTGAGATTAGATGGATTAGAAGAATTTTTAACTAAAAGACACAATGACCAAACAGTTTGCATATTTTTACAATAATGAAGTGGATCATATATAGATAAAGGTGCACTCATTAGTGTTAAAAATCATCATAACTTTTAAACTTATTTTATTTTATACTTTGATGCACTTATGTGTTGACTTATACATGTAAAGTTTTTATATATTTTGATACACATATGCGACAATGTTTTTATTTAAAGTTTTTCACAATCAAAATAGTGCCACAACATTTCTTATTTAAAGTTTTTTTGAGAGCTGTTTTTTTAAAGTGCTTCTCAATGAAAGTTTGTTTCTTTTTGCATTGATTATAAATTTCAGAGTATGTAACAACTTATTTACCAAACTGACTATATCAAATTGATAACTTTTACGTAGTATCAAACAACCACAATAGTCTTACCTTATCGTTACTAAATAGTTCAAAAATATCTTTTTAGCTAGTCATATCAACCATATACTTAGTAATAAATGGGTAAAACTAGGGGTGAACAAAAAATCTGAAAAACCAAAACCGACTCAAATTGAAACGGACTAAAACCAACTAACCGTTGGCAGTTCAGTTTACGGTTTCTACTTTTGGATTAAAAACCGACCAAACCAAAACCAACCGATAAAAACCGACAAAAACCTGCTAAAACCGACCGAAATTAACCGAACCGATACTTAACAACCGAAATTAACCAAACCAAAACTGACTCAAGTAGTGCAGTCTGGTTCTCACTTTCACATTTTCTAAAACCGAAACCGATAAAATCAAACCGCTGAACACTCCTAGGTAAAACTCCGCTTTAATTATTGGTTTAATGTCTCCAATTTTCATTACCATCATATTTATAAATAGAAAGACATGACTAAATTTTGACAGTATCTATAACCTGTGCAGCCATAGACCTGTTGAAGAATGTAAAAGTGCAGGCAATCCTGGGGCCTCAGATGTCCACACAGGCAAATTTTGTGATTGATATCGGGAAGAGAGTCAAAGTTCCTATTCTTTCTCCCGCCACAAACCCTTCACTTTCTCCCAACCAAAGCGAATACTTCATCAGAGTCTCACAGAGTTCATCTGCTCAGGTCAAAGCCATTGCCGCCATCGTCAAAGCTTTTGGCTGGCGGGAGGTCGTGTTCGTTTACGAGGACAGTGACTTCGGGAGGGGCATTCTCCCTCATTTGACCGACGCCATGATGGAAGTCAGCGTCTTTGTCCATTACAGAAGCGCTCTGGCACCTTCGGCAGACGACGAGCTAGTCCTCATGGAGCTCTACAAGCTGATGACGATGCAAACAAGGGTGTTCATCGTGCATCTATCGCCGGCCACCGGATCCCGCCTTTTTCTGAAGGCGAATGATGCTGGAATGATGAGTGCAGGCTACGTATGGATTCTCACGCACTCATGCATGAGTCTTTTGGGGTCCACTGATCCTACAATGATTGATAACATGCAAGGAGTACTGGGGGTGAAGCCGTACATACAACCATCCGCTCAGCTGAAAATCTTCACAAAGAGATGGAGAAGGAAGTTTTATGAGGAGAACCCAGCGACGGACGACGAAGTAGAGATGTTAGACATTTTCGGGTTGTGGGCATATGATAGCATGACATTATTAGCCATGGCTCTTGAGAGAGTAGATGCAGCCCATCAAGGATTCAATTCAGTGGTCAACAGAGGAGAGCCTTTATCTGACATGGACACTATCGGGACCTCACTTTTAGGGCCTGTACTCATAGAATCGCTGAGAAATATCAAAGTCAAAGGGAAAAGTGGTCAATTCAATGTTGTAAACGGAGAGTTGCAGCCATCGGTGTTTCAGATTGTGAATGTGGGTGGAACAGAGAGAAGGGTAGGGTTCTGGACAGAAGAGTATGGGCTCTCCAAGAAGCTGAAGCATAGTAGTAGTGATAGCACAAGTGTACTGTACACAGCTAACATGGATGATCTTGGGGTAATCACCTGGCCAGGTGACTCTGATATAGTTCCTAAAGGATGGGAAAACCCCACAAATGGGAAAAAGAAGTTAAGGGTTGGAGTTCCTGTTAAAGGAGGGCTTGAACAGTTTGTGAAAGTGACTAAGGATCCCCAGACAAACAGAGTGACCGTGACAGGTTTCTGCATTGATGTTTTTGAGGAAGTTCTTAAGAACTTACCTTATGCTGTTCCGTTTGACTATGTACCTTACGGAATCCCTCACAGCCAAAACCTGCCGGACTATGATGAACTTGTCCGCCAGGTTTTTATTGGGGTAATACCATTACTAACTACTCTTCTCCTATTATTAATCCTCCTCTCATATCGGTTTAGTGTTGATAAAAAATCCTGTTTGGGATATACAAAGTATATAATAATATACGGAGTACTTTGTATGGTATAAGTGTGTTTTTATCACAATTGTCTTCTTATTTGAGCAATTAAAGTGCTTTTTAGCAAACACAAAGATACTCTTTTTCTTTAAATAAGCATTTAGAAGCGTCTTTTTTACCGTTAAAAACACTTTTACTATTTTACTTCAAAACGCCACTACTTAAAGTAAACATGCTTTTCTTCATGAAGTTGTTTAGACTTTTAGTCCTCACTTTTGGTAATGACATTTTAATTATTTACTTCTGAATTACTTTTAGTCTCTGCCCATTGTGAGTTTTTTTAGCAAACACAAAGATACTCTTTTTCTTTAAATAAGCATTTAGAAGCGTCTTTTTTACCGTTAAAAACACTTTTACTATTTTACTTCAAAACGCCGCTACTTAAAGTAAACATGCTTTTCTTCATGAAGTTTTTTTGACTTTTAGTCCTCATTTTTGGTAATGACATTTTTATTATTTACTTCTGAATTACTTTTAGTCTCTGCCCATTGTGAGTTGTGAGGACACTTTTGACACTCCAACTATTGTGACACTTTTGATCATCTGACTAATATGTCATAATTCAAAGGCAAGTTCTAAAAAGAGTCACAAACACAATAGTCAGAGGACCTAATGTGGAAAAGTTCAAATTTAGGTCTCACAAGTGTTTATTTTAGACTAAAAAGTGGAAATGAACTCTTTTTTTCCTCTGAACAGCACTTATACCTTTGAAATTATGTGGTTCAACACAAAATGCCCCAGAACTAACCACATTGAAGCACTTGCATTTCTTGGATTCCAACAGACGTTTGATGCAGTCGTTGGAGATGTGACCATCTTGGCAAACAGGTCCGATAGCGTTGAATTCACACTCCCCTATACAGAATCTGGGGTGACAACAGTCGTCCCAGTAGAGCAAGATAGGAGGAGGAGTGCCTGGATTTTCTTAAAGCCTTTGAGAACAGAGCTTTGGGTGACAACAGGAGCTTTCTTCATCTTTATTGGCTCTGTGATTTGGGTGCTTGAACATCGCATAAACAAAGAGTTTCAAGGTCCTCGTCACAAGCAGATTGGGATGATCTTCTGGTTCTCTTTCTCCACTCTAGTCTTTGCTCATAGTAAGTCTTTGTTTCAATGATAATGACTTTAAAGGTCCCTTTGGAACCTACATTTTATTCATTAGTTCATTTTGTAAAGACTAATTAAATCTGTTTTTCTTTCGTATTTAAATTCATTTTCCCTAGAACACTTTTCCCTTCCCTACCAAAAGATTATAACAGATATTTGATCAAACTTCTTTATTTATTTCTATCATAGATGGTCTCATCATCATTACCCCAGTGCCGCAAAGGCCCCACCTACGGTGGGTAAGGGGGGTCGGATGTACGCAGTCTTACCCCTATACTAAAGCACAGAGAGGTTGTTTCCGAATGACCCATAGTGAAAATCGCGTCGAAAAATACATGGATTGACTGCTGCTTCACTATAAAGAAGCGCAGAAGTTTAGTGAGCCATTTTGCTTTATTCCATCATATTCTCAAGCCAAAAAATAGTGAATCTTTGGCTCCATTGCAAATGATGAAAATTCTATCATAGATGGTCTAAGTTATAAAAATATTACCTCTATAGTTTCAATAGTTAAAAAGTGACTGCTTTTAAATATTTCCAAAATAGTGAACAAATCCACTATAAACCTAAAAATCTATGGCAACTTCTTTTCTGTCTCATCTGCCGCTCAAAAGCATAACTTCTTGAGCCTCCAAGATTTTTAAAAAGGTTGCTGGAAAATGCCAGAAGCGCCTGCCACCGATCACAGTGACAAGCAGGATTCAGGGTGACTTTCCAGTGTCCACCACCAGTGACATATATATAATCGCCTTTAATTTTTACCATTTTAAAAGTTATATTTTTTCCATCAGTCACATTTATATTGAAACATCTTTTCTAAGGTAAATCCAATAAAATATCTTACCTAAGCATTTTTCCATTTCCAAATGTGCCCTAAGGAACAGTTTTCTGATGATAGTGAAAACCTGCAACATTTCAGGAGAAAAGGTGATCAGCAATCTATCAAGATTTGTGATCATCATTTGGGTCTTCGTAGTGCTGGTGCTTACCTCAAGTTACACGGCCAGCTTAACGTCCATGTTAACAGTCCAACAGCTGCAACCAACCATCTCAAACATTAAAGATCTCATAAAGAACCGAGAACCTGTAGGATACCAGGATGGGTCTTTTGTCAGGGGCCTTTTAACGTACATGCAATTTGACAGCTCGAAATTTCGGAATTACAGCTCGTTAGAAGAGTACCATGAAGCCCTCACCAAAGGAAGCCAAAACGGAGGTGTTGCTGCCATTGTTGATGAACTGCCCTACATGAGGCTCTTCCTCTCAAAGTACTGTGGGAAGTACACCATGGTTGGCCCAACCTACAAGACAGCGGGATTTGGATTTGTAACTTCACTAAAAACCCTCAGCTTTTAATCTTCATTTCATAAGGCTGCGTTTGGAACTCAGAAAATGGTAGGGAAAGGGAAAAGGAAAAATGCAAGGGAAAATATTTTTTATGCTATATTTGACTTCGGAAAATTAAATATGCCTACAGATTTTGAAAATATTACATAAACTGAGATTTCTTTGACTTTACATAATAGAAATATACTACGTATAACTAAAAAGAGTTTGCACAAATATCTAAAATTGATCTATTCAAATTGGACCAAATTCTTTGATAAGTCAAGCCACACAAATATAAGGTTGAATTTTTAAGATTTCTCACACTAAAATATAAAGATACACACCAACATATAAAGCCTTGAACTACTACTTTGGATTTTTGTTGCAGGCATTCCCAAAGGGATCACCTCTGGTGCCTGATGTATCAAGAGCAGTGTTAAGTGTGATGGAAAGTGAGAGTATGACAAGAATTACTGATAAGTGGTTCAGTAATGAGACAGATTGTTCCCAGCAAGATGGAACTCTACTGGCATCAGAATCAGATAGCCTATCACTTGATAGTTTCAAGGGAATTTTCCTAATAGCTGGTCTGGCAGCATTTTCTGCTCTTCTCATCTTCGTTTTCAACTTCCTCTATCAGAACAAAGAAATCTTAGCATCTGATGATGATTCAACCTGGCAAAAAGTATGCACATTAGCTCTAACCTTTTGGAAAGTAAATAAGGTCGTGCCTGAAGTTAATGGAAATTCTGGACAAGGAAATGAGATAACAGGACCACCTAATGCAGATCAAGAGATTATTTCAGTAACACGAGATACGGATGAAGAAATATAACAAACTATAACTATCACACCCTCAATGGGGTTCAGATCGGTTATATATTGAAGTAACCATGAATTGACGAAACAAACCAATGGTTCAAGTGGCTTGTTACATCCTAAACTTGCTAATGTCCATTCAGTTCAGTCGGGTGGGGTGGTTGGAACTGTCTAGGTCGGGTCAGGGTTACAAAAACAATAAATATAGGAAGACTATTACTCACTTATAGTCTTACAGAGACTTCCTGTAGATACTTTAGTCATGGGTCACAACAAATGTTTAACCTGAGTAGAAGATTGATAGCACATTCATGTGGTGACAGACTTTTCGTGCCAGTTATCTTCTTCGAGCCAGCTAGTCAGCTAGTTGTACAGAGAAGTAGAAGTGTAGAACAAAGTTTAATTTGATGAATTTTATTATGTTGTACCTGAACTTGTATACTCCGTAAGAGTTATCAGTTGATTATACGTGTTGTTAACAGAGTGTAAATTATAAATGTGTGTAAATAATCAATTATGTCAACAATAACTTCCTTTCCAGGCACTGAATAGTATTATATCTTCATTATTTGTAATTATTAGACCAGGAACTCCATTTTAAGGATTATCACGGATCTTTAAGGTCACTAAAGCAATAAAGTAAAGAACAGATGGAGAAACTTAATATGAATCAGTCCCTTAGTTTAAAGCAATAACGTAAAGAGCATTCCTTTAGAATACTCCACTCCATTCACTTCTAAATAAATCAGTAAATATATAAATAGCTCTGTTCGTTAGTTTCCTTTTCATTCTAATCCAACTTGCTTTGCCATTACCAAACATGATCTTATACTTTTCTCTGCTGAGAACATTGTATCATCCTTCATATCATAAAGCATAGTTTATTTCCAACTGGAGTATGGCTTAAACCAACATAGCATCACATCTCTTAGCTGGTACTGACTATTAACGTATATGGCCTAACCGGTTCCGGTTCCGGGCCGGGCCCGGGCGGGCTTTTTTTTTTCAAATTGTTGGGCCCGGAACTGGTTAACAGGTTTTATTCATAAAATGTCTTGTGAACCAAGTACTCCCTCCGTCCCATTTAGAGCCCGTTTGGTGACCCCTTTTTTCGGCTTATCAGGCTTATCAGCCAGCTTTTCACCAAACACGTAACTTTTGATTTCGCGTACTGAATTTTGTAATAAGCAGAAGGCAGTATTGTGTTAGGGTTCTGTGATTGAGAACGAATCCAGGGACGTCTTGGGGTAGCAGGTTACCCGGTTGAGGTGATAACTTGCCTGCTAGGGTTACTCCTCTTCTTGCCCGTGGCTGGAAGAGCGCAGTAAGAGCGTAGGGGGAAGGGGGAAGTCCGTGACTTCTCTCTGGGGATTAATTCTTCTAATGATCAATATTTTATTAAGGCTGAAAAAGGAATATAAATAGGCATCCTGCCTTTACATGATAGAGTTCTAGTCTAACTAAAATTGTAACCTCTAAATACTTCTATTACTAATAGGACTTCTAATCTAGTAGAAATTGTAACCTCTAATACTTCTATTCCTAATAGGAAGTAATAAATAAAATATAAAAAATAGCATCAGGATAATTTCCCTCTTCTAATTAAACTGTTCTAATTAAATCTCCTGCTAGATCCATAAAATGCATCCGTAACATCACTCCCTCCCTTGAAACTGAGCTTGTCCCCAAGCTCATATCCTGGATAAGCAGTGATAAAAGTGTCAAACAGTTCCCAAGTGGCCTTGTCTGGTGTGCTGCCTTGCCATTGAACTAATAGTTCCACTTATAGCGTTGGCAGACAACTCCAAGTCTGGGAAGCCATCATCTTCTTCCTGCTCATCTTCTATCTCGATCAAGAAAAGTTTTTTGCATCGGTGATTCATCATCCACTGTTCATCACAATTAAAACATAGCCTTTTTGCTCGTCTTTCTGCCATTTCATCCTTCGTGAGTAGCTTAACAATAGGATTTCCCGCCTTTGTTGTCACAAGCGCTTGTCTAAGTTGTGGCAGATTGCTGTGTTGTTTCATATTTGTTGTAGGACCCGAGACTTTTACAGGTGCAAGCGTCAGTGTTTGCCTTGCTTCCAATGTCCGTGCAAGGTTCATGGCGTAACCCAGGTTGCCTGGTTTTGCTATCTCCACATCAGCCCGTAAGTGGGGATGGAGACCTGCGACAAACAAAGCAATCTGATGGGGGGACTGTATTTGTGAAGTTCTTGCTAAGGCCTTCTGAAATTGAGCACAATATTCATCAACTGATCCGATCTGCATCAGAAGTTTCAGATCTCCAATCGGGTTAGAACTCAAAGGGGGCCCAAAGCGCTCCAGACAAAGATCTTTAAACCTCTCCCAGTTGACTTCTCCTTCTTCCTCTATCATCTGATCGAACCACAATTGTGCATCATCTATCAAGTGGAATGAGACCATATTCATCTTTGCAACACTAGGAGTTTCTTGGTTCAAGAAGAATTTTTCGCACCTTTTCAACCAACTGGTAAGGTCGTAGGTGCCATCAAACACTGGAAATTCCATCTTCGCATACTGTGGTTTCCAGGGTTTGAGGTGTTGTGTGTATCAGGTTGTTATCGGGTTGCTCTTCATGTGTTTCTGTTGATTTGGAATCCCGTTTTTGGACTGCCAGAGATAGAGCGGCAATCTGCCCTTCTATGGCGGTTACCCTAGCAGTCATAGCCTCCATAAACTCCTTCATCATGGTGGTTAAATCATCATTCTGTGGCGCCATGGATCGTGACAGCTCTGATACCAAATTGTTAGGGTTCTGTGATTGAGAACGAGTCCAGGGACGTCTTGGGGTAGCAGGGTACCCGGTTGAGGTGATAACCTGCCTGCTAAGGTTACTCCTCTTCTTGCCCGTGGTTGGAAGAGCGCAGTAAGAGCGCAGGGGGAAGGGGGAAGTCCGTGACTTCTCTCTAGGGATTAATTCTTCTAATGATCGATATTTTATTAAGGCTGAAAAAGGAATATAAATAGGCATCCTGCCTTTACATGATAGAGTGCTAGTCTAACTAAAACTGTAACCTCTAAATACTTCTATTACTAATAGGACTTCTAATCTAGTAGAAATTGTAACCTCTAATACTTCTATTCCTAATAGGAAGTAATAAATAAAATATAAAAAATAGCATCAGGATAATTTCCCTCTTCTAATTAAAACAGTTCTAATTAAATCTCCTGCTAGATCCATAAAATGCATCCGTAACATATTGGTTGAAGTTATCGTAGAGGATCATTTTAGCTATTTTTTCATATAATTTTTTATTTAATTTATTAATAACAAATATTTTAAATATAATTTTTCATGAACCAGCAGAATCAGCCAATACAGCTACTTCAGCCAGAACTTCATAAATTTCAGCATAATCAGCCTATTCAGCCAATTTTAGTGCTACCAAACGGGCTCTTAGTGTCTTTCTTTCCATTTTGGGTTGTTCCAAAACAAATGTTCAATTCTTTTTTGGCAAGAAATATGGGGTCATATTCTTTCATTTTATTCTACTTAAACTTCAAGACACATAAAATGAGACTGATGTAGTTAGATTCTTTCTTATTCTTAGATGTATTGCTCATCAATACAAACTTTTCAAGCATTGAAATCTCACAGATATATATACGGAGTATAAGATTTGGCATCTCACAGTCCCTATTAGTTAGCAGGAGTCAAGAAATTAGGGAAATGCCATTACCTGTTGAAGATGAATCTGTAGCCAAATCATTGTATTTAGGTTCATTTGAGGTGCTTTCGGGTCGAATCTTTTGATGAAATTTTGTGAGCATGTTCTCCGTTAAGTGTCGACTATGTCCACCAATTTTGAAGTTAAAATTCAATTGAGAAGTCAGATAAATAAACTATTGAAAATTGTGCAGTTTTATACTCCTTATATATAAAAAACTGTAGTAAAATACACTTTTTTCAATGATTTATTTAAATGACTTTCCGATTAAATTTTAATTGATATTTGGTGATGATAGTCTACACTTCATCATGGAGAACATGCTCACACAATCTCAAATGAAAAAGGCTTAAGAATTGCAAATTTTAGGTCTCCCTTAGGTGAACAATTTACTATTTATCTATACATATACTTGATGCCTTCTGCATTACTTTAGCCAGTCTTTTAATAGTAACAAAGTCATGTAGAGGGAGGGAAGAGGAGAAAAGGGAAGCCTGACCTACTCTCCCAGTTGACAGGATTGACACAAGTTCTACAACGAGCATCCCAAATGGGTGGATCCATAAAATTCTTCAAGCTAGGCACGCTGGTAAGGGTAGGTAAAACACCAAATTGAAGAATCTTAAGCATAATCGAAGCCAATATCGTTTTGGTTCACTAAGTCGGATCACTGGTCGACCCGGATTTGGATGATTTCGAATCCGAAATTGAGCTTTTTTAACTGAAAATCAGAATAGGGATTGGGAATTATTTTTAATCAGAATAGGTATTAAATAGAAATAATTACATAAATATGACCAAAATAATGATGATTTACAAAAATATGACTAATGACTAGAGTAGTAATGAAATGATAGTAATTCATGTTCAAGTTTTGAGCTTAAGTTACCACAACACCACATTATAGTAATGAATAGTCATATTTATGTAAATATGTTTTATTTTAGTACTATTCTTGTAAAAAACCCTATTAAATATGGATTGTGGGCACTTTTCTAATCCATGAACCTTTAAAAAAAGTCAATTGGTTTTTAAATCCATAGATTTTTTTATGAATGAATTCTATTGACTTGTAAATCGATGAAAAATTTTATATTTTCAAAAACTCTATAGACTTACAAATCCGGACCGCCACTGCCGGGTCATCGGAATTTTCACCTAGATCACCACTACTGATTTGCTTGTCTGCCTCCATCACCAGAGTTTGATGTCTTCGTCATTGGACCAATCCGCCACTAATAAAATGACTTTGATTATGCAAGGGAACTAGTGGCAATTAATTATATTAATTAATTAAATTGGGGGTAGAAATGTAATACTTAGTCCTGTTTAATGAAAATCAAACATATGATCATGCTTTAAGAAAAATGCTACTCCCTCCGTCCCACAATGAACTTCACAGTTTGACCTACACACATATTAAGGAAATAAACTTACCATGGGGTAAATTTTACTGTTTTGACACTCTTTTGACACTGTTTGGCACTGTTTTGACACTGTTTGACACTGTTTTGATGTAGATTAACTTGCCATTTAAGGAAATGAGAATTTATTTTTGGGACATCCAAAAAAGGAAGGTGAGAATTTCATTGCGGGACAGAGGGAGTATGTTTTAGTACTACCATGAGTAGTTTTCTTTGTATAATATGATAAGAAACAATTAAATAAATAAATGAAACAAATGTAATTCATCTAGCAATGCAGAGTTCTACAAGAATAAATGAAGCATTATAAGAATCCAAATTTATATTTATTAAAAAGAAAACTCAAAGTTTCGAGAATGTTCAATAGTGTCAGTCTCTTTATGATCATTTTTTATATTACACAACTCAACGAGTAAGAACATTAATCGTTACTGATGGAGTATATGG